TTAGCTCCACCAATTTTTCATTTTTGTCTATTCAATTTGTATACTCTTCCTTATTAAGTCAATTGTTACTATTACTACTCTCACTTTTAATTGTCCCCGGTATTATTTCACTTGTTCCACTTGTCATTCTAAATCAATTCCTTTATGCAACATTAAATTCTATGCTATTAAATTTCACACAATATTACGTAACGTTTTTATTTTATTCGATTTGTCTACTAATCTTATAATTGCACACCTTTTTCAAGTTCTATCCATCCTATGAATTATTCTATATATGACATTAATTTGCTTTGCCACTTGACATTTAACTATGATTATAATCACAAACATTTTAGTTTTGATTGCATTTCATATTATTATTATTATTATTTTATGCATTCACACCTATGTTTCAATTCCCTCACCGGATATAACTTCTTAAAAACCTATATATATACGATTGTACAGCTTGATGATAAATTCGTTGAAAAGAGTCTCTTCGCTGAATCATTTGTTTTGATTTTCATATCTTGTTGACTTAGCACTTAAAGAAGTTGAAACTTTCTAGAACAACTCACCAACTTGTCCTCTTAAAATTTACCAATTCATGTATTCTGTCCATTTTCTTTATTGTTCGCCCTACTTGTTCTTAGGTGGACTTCTCAAAAAAGAATATATCATCTATGACGTAAAACATTGAAGGTTGTGAGTAGGGTTAGTGGTGTGCCTTTGACTCAGCTAACTGACATGATTGTCAATAGACACTTCAGTTCTTACAAGCATTTGGCTAAAGCTGTCTTGTCTGACACCGAACATCCTCTTCATTCGCTACTTTTTACTTGTATATCTTTGGATTGAACCAGAAGAAACTTCATAGGAATTTACGCTCGTACAGCTACTAAATATAAAAATTCTACCATACCACCATATTTAGCACGGATTTTGTGTTAAGAGTTAGATGTCAGAAAAGAACTTTTAACTTTTTAAATTAGTAACTGAACTGCAAAGTAAAAAGTAAACATTATTATTACGTGTATTGTCTATGATATTACCTACTCACAATTCACTACTATGTTTCCACCAGCATTCTGTTTATAATGGTTTCATTATTAATATTATTTTAACTGCTTTAAATTTTATGTATGTACATAGTTATAAAAGGAGCTAAATTGTTGCAATATGTATAAAAAAAGCCGGGAATTCCATTCTGTATGATTATTATTATTACTGTTTGGAATAAAGTTATTATTATTAAGATTTAACCAACTACTTCCACAAAAATTGGGCACTGACAGTGAAAAGCAGACATATGTGAGAATATTTTCTATAGTTTGGTTTGTAAGGATTAGTTATGCTTTACGAGTTGATCACGGACTGATATCAGTTAGAGAACCACTGAAAACCAGGGAGTACTGGACAGCTGCTGTTTCATCCTAGTTTGGGAATCATCGGCAGTACGCACCCACTTGGATTCGAACCTAGGACCTTCCGGTTACAAGGCAAGCTCGCGTACCATTCAGCCACTGGGACGCGATTCAATGGCTCATGAATTCTAGCTTCTACCAATTCGTGATTTAGCGCGACCCCAACCATTGTCGGCGATGGGACATCCATCCACACACGTGAGAATATATATTTGTATAAACCTCAAAAAATAATAAAGGTCTTTGTGTTTCCCAATGAATGACAAACAAAACGATATTGTTTTTACTGACGTTTCGCTATTTAATGCTTATAGCTTTATCAAAGTATTAATAAGCCAGAATTAACACAATCTCAGCATATATATAACAAAGAGTTAAGAGGTGAGAAAATAGACTTAGGTCAATTTAAAGGGACATATTGAAAGTCAAAATAACAATGAAGATCACTAAACGATATAACAAAGGTAATAGTAGTACATCTGTTATGATATCAAAATAAAGTTGACTAACTTGACCTAAGTCTATTTTCTCACCTCTTAACTCTCTGTTATATATATGCTGAGATTTTGTAAATTCCGGTTTAATAATACTTTGATAAAGCTATCAGCAGCAGCGTTAAATAGCGAAACGTCAGTAAACACAACAATATCCTTTTGATTTTCATTCATTGGGAAACAAAAAAACCTTTATTATAATGAATATCATATACCCAATGGCCAAATTTTTTCAAACCGTTAAAAATGAACTTTGTTTAGACATATAAAACCTCAAAAAAATTTAAATAAATAATTCCAACGTTTTGTTTAGCAAACTGGGTCATGATAAAAGTTATAAAAACAAACAAATCTTGTCTTAAAAAAACATTCTCGTCTAATCATTGTCTGAGTCATCAATAGTCATGAAAAACAACAAACAAAAATAAACAAAACTGAGTGAACTGTGATCAAGATTTGACCGGATAGTTCCACCTACTCATTATTAGTAGTCTACACTGTAAACACTGTATGTACTTTTATTTATATCCATATCTTCAATGAAAATATTCTAATATAGGTCATGGTAACTTAGTACACATGGTAAGGAAATCTGAATTACAAAAAATGTCTGTCTGATATACAAATAATGTGAATAGGTGGACAATTTCACATCACTTGTCAGCATATTCAGAATAAAATTAAAATAAAACGACGATTAATGTTGGTTGCAATTGTAAATCATTAGTGTATCAATTTGAATTTTCAGTCACATACATCCATAATGAAAACATTGATAATTTCAGTAATAGATAATCGGGATAATAAATTAGACATGGAAATTGGCAGCACATTTCTACCTTAGTTGTTAACCAAGACTTGTCATGCATCATCTCTAACATTACACCGTCAAGTCTATTTATACTTATGGGATTCACTCTTATATACAGGCCTTCTGCAGTCGGTCTTTCTTTATATGAACCAACACCTTTCTGTAGATCCCTTTTTTATTCCTTTACGTTCCCATTGGAAAATGCGGCTTGGAATTTCAGTAACAGTTTTGTTTATTTTTACGGGATGGGTTTGTTAACCTCGTGCCCAACCTCCCTTCTCTACCAGTCTTATCACTGGCTTAGCGAGGTAACGGAGTGCATCGGCCGGGGATCGAACCCCGGACAACCTGTGTGGTTGGCAAGCATTCTACCACTGTGCCACCGACGCACTAGATCCTTGATCCTATCAAAGTCGATCTACATCTACATATTGTATCTAATGTATCGTGTTTTATTTATGTATCTTGCGCCCCGTTTCTATCGAACGTAGTACAATCTCTGGTTTGTTTTTTAGACCCTTCAAATCCATTGAGGTATTTGGAACCGCTTTTATGCAATTTTATGTCCTTTTACTATGAAATTCACTTACCTGGAAGTCTGTCCTGCACATACAGCATCACAATCCCTACATTTTATTTCGTATACGCAATTCTGTTGGCTGTCTTCTTCTAATCTTTGCCAGTAACGAGTGCAAGTGGTGTTTGCGCGAAAATACAGTCTAGTATCATAATTGTTAAGGATTTGTCTTATTTCCTCTGACGTTTCCTTGAGATAAGGAATCGTCACAGTACTAATCCGATTGTCAGGAGGAGGTTTCGATACATCCTTATCTTCACTACTTAGATATCTTTTTATACAGGTTTTCGGGTAACTATTTGATTCGAGAGAAGAATGAACTAATTTTAATTCTTCCATTATAGGTAAAATTCTCTGTGAGTTTCTTGTAACATCGATGGTTTGCACATATACAAATGACAAATTAAACCTGAAAATCACACAAAACCTAATACCAGACAGTAGCTTAAGATCTTCGATAGAAAAATTTCAGTCAATTACCCAGTTTGTTTTAACTTTGCTCCACCAACTGAAATTTCAAATGCAGATAGTGATACTAGCCTTCACTTCATTCGTCTGACTTAGTTTTTAGTGCACGAACGTCCACATAAATACTGGCTACATTTTACTCCTTTATTGTGGTTCAGTTTTCACTTTTAACCATCTTATTACCTTACAATTTCTTGGTACATTCCGTTGTAAATTCACATCAGCTAAACAACCATTGAGAAATAAATGAGAGCTGGATACTGCTTTCTAACGAGAACTACTGTTAAATTGACTAGCCTCCCATAAACATTGCAGCTGAATACACATCTAACGCTCACTGATGACCAGTTTCAAAATGAAATTTCTGAAACTCTGACGAGATGTTATGATTGGTGACGCAAACCACTTAGGATGTGAGGAAAGTTATTCATCAGTGATACGAAACGGAAATGATGCTACACCTCAAATTACCAAAAGTTGTAAGTCAATAGTTGTTGGACGCCGATCAGACGGTTACAACCTGATTGCTCATTTTAGGATTGAAGGTTTGTACTGGGGAATATTCTTCAAAAAGGACAAAGTTTAGTTGCATTAAGTATATAACGAAATCTACCTTGGAACCAATTAGACATTGATGTTGGGTAGTTGAGGGCAATCTGTGGGAAGACCTGGACCTAGGTCTCGTGCTTTCTAGCACTCGTCAGCAAGACGCATCTGCAAGTAACTCAGTGGTAACCTCTGTGACAGCAGCACCAAGTGACGTGAGTTCGAATCTGGATGGAGACATGGGTTCCTTCAAGGTTGCAGATATATCTTGCTGACGAATGCCAGCAAGCACGAAACCTAGGTTCAGGACTTCTTACAGACTGTCTTCAACCATCTAACATCAATTCGGAGTGCACCGCGTTGGTGAGCCACTTAGTATCGTGAACACATTACAAGCTTCACTGATGGAATTCAGTTTGCAGCAAACTAAGGACTAGATGCATGACAATTTTGTCCTTTTTATAAGCATCTAAAAAATTATTCAAATCTTCCAGTTTATTTTTGTTGGGTATGAACCTTTCTTAAACAGTCAAATACGTGTATAGGTTTGTTCTTATAGAGTTCTTAGATCTTGGGAAGTCAGTCTAATGGTGGACTCTGAAAAGAAATTTTGTCCTAGTCGCTTATCTTGTCACATTACTAGTTGTTAGTTAATTTATATTACTGATTTCACAGGAAATTTTCACAAGGAAACTTACCTGACAGCCGATTTAGGAACGGAACCATAAAGAAGTACAGATAAACCCCGATACAGACCCCGTACACCATAAGATTTTACTGTTTTCTTTACACAATCAATGGGTCCTGAATACTGTCTAGCACTGCCCATACGTTCATCGAGCTGCAGTTGTGTTTTGACATATTCAGTCGGGTATGTGATACATATCTCTATTGCACCAGTAATTCCGCCTAAATTTATTGTAAAGCGTATTACAGAGATAAAGCTAACCTGCAATAGCTCCTTTGATTGTCTGTTCAATGAGAGTTGATCTTGTTGAGCCTTGGTTGTCATTCACCATACTGAAAACAATTAGAAAATGATTAACTAAAATATAAAAAAGATATGGTTTGTTTCTTTTCTACGAGTTTGGTAAAATGCTGTCTGTGAAACATTAGAATCAAAACCTTCATACAGAGTTGCATAGACACTTGATTTCCAGTCATCAGATGAGTGGTATTATAGCTAAAAATTACCGCCACTTCTGGCGATAAAACATCAACGATCAAATATTAAAGCTTGAAGAATATCAGACAAATTACACTCTGATCCCTAGGTGCAAATCTTCAGCACTATGAGTGGTCTTATTCTGGTGTATTTCAAACTGAATAGTTACCTATGCACTGACCTAATTTATTTTACTTTTAGCATAGATTATATGAGAAATCATCGAAAGAACGGCATCAAAAGCCGTTGTTGTAAACATGAGGACCAGAACTCATATACCCCTATCGAATTTTGAGCGATTAAAATATGTTACCGGAACTTATATTGGCTACCCCTCCCACCCGCCAGTGAACGTATGAAGGTGAGATATGGTCTTTACAAAACTGTCTACTGCTAGTGTTAGCACAAAAGCTTTGAACGAATATGCTCAATGGTGAATACTGAAAACTACTGTCTAAATCAAAATACTGCGTCGAGTAGGTAGTGGTTATTATAAACATGTAGCTTCTGGAATATACACCTTCCACGCAGACCTTTTTCTCACTCTTTTAAATTCACCTTTTGTTGTATTATACACTACAAGAGCTAAAGACAAACTCTAAGTTGTTATTCTTTTTAGAGTTTTTTTTTATTTTTTGGTTAAATAAATGTATTTATTTAGAAATATGAGCTTCAAGTTTTGTTATTTTTCACAACAAAACTTTTTTGAATTGAGGTAAACGGACTTTGTTTTAGATTATAGCTGTCATGGTCTCCTATAGAAAATGATTGCCGTCCTCTCAAGTTAGTGACCACCATAAAGGGCCGTTGTGTGAGGTTAACGTGCCACTTCCCAATAGAGTATGACTTACAATATGATAACTGTAATCCGTGGTTACAAAAGACCTGACCCCTGCGGTCTACAAACTCGCACAGTGGCAGTACAAGGACCGTTCTGACTCGAAAAAACACGTTATACAAAAGGGTTTCTTACTGCAGTAACACGACAATAAAGCTTTTTAATTACAAAGGCACCCTAACATAAGGCGAAAATAACCAGTACTCGGAAAGTAACGACGCTATTAGTGCCACTGACAAATTCAAAAGTGATCTTGATGCAACATCGTTGGAAAGCTTTGTCTGCAAAATGCAATCCTTTCGAAAGGAAAAGATGGGACAAAGGTCGTCGACCTACAGCAAAAGTTGTCGCACAAGCGGCCAACACTGCAGTTTCAGTAACTCCTATGGGACAAGTGGATAGTTAGCAGTTGCTCTCAAACCCACTTGAAGCAGACCTCTCAAAGCACGAGACAAAACCACTACACAAGACGTATCATCCACGAAAGATGAGAAGGTATCTTTTTCCCAAACCAGTTAACCTTCAAAAATCTAAGGACCATAGGGCAGATCGAGTTAACCACAAGGAGCAAGGAACCACACTGTCCTTAACTTCACGTTCATAACTGATGTGGTATCCTGGGTTAAAGCCCCAGCTCGACTAAACATGTGGAGAGCTAATATACAAGCCGTCATTTCTGCAGCCATATGAGAGGACTGAATTATACACCAGGAAGCTCATATTGAATCTGTATGGAGTCAATTTAAGCAACAGCGCATCCGGGATAAGCCCACTTTACATCTCATATATTGTTCTCAATGGTAGAAAACACTGCCTTTCTCCATGGATGAAGCCAGAGATTAGCGGTCTACTTTGGCATTAACACGAGCTCTAGGAAATGTTATTACACTTGATAATTCAGAGCCTGGAAATCTGTCCACCATAGTCCTCAATCGACTCGTTTAGGAAAGGATTATACAAACACATTTACTTGCAAGAGGAAGATCAACATAGAAGCCTTCTAACCTCAACCGAAAATCTGTACTTGAATTTTAAGGTTTCCGAATGCTTCTTCCGCTTGAATAAAGCTTCACTCCAAATATTACCGAAATAACGGGATAACATCAACTCTTTTTGTATAACTAGGAAGTGTTCTATTATTACCTACACTATATGCATGTGACAGTTGGCTGGACAATATCATTCGGCCTTTTGCTAAGTGGAACACGTTAAACTTGCACAATTTATACACTGAAAAAGGGGATTTCATAACTAACTGTAGTGTTTACTATACTTCAAACATTTGTCAAAATTTATCATGGCCCACCAACAAAAACCTAGGCGAAGTTAAACTATAGCAGTCATCACGAAGTGCCAACAACAACCAATGATAGTAGAGTGACCTGAAGAGTGAATAGTTTTCAATAAAGTATATATATATATATGTAGGGAGAGAGAGCCTGATATCCCCTTCTATACTGAAATAAAGTTATGCGTCTAGCATGATAAAAATATACGTAGGAATACAGATTATGATTAACAGTGGGCGTGTTTCATGACATATAGTCATCTTCAGTTCATTTCTACTGTACGGAAAAACTTAAATTGCTAAACAGAACTTCGAGATCTCAAATGAAAACCTTTATAAAATTGTACTTAAAAATAACATGATAATAATTTAAATGCTGAATGCACCACCAAAAATTACTTGAATAATAACACATACTCTAAACAATACAAGGAGTACGACTAAACCTAAAATAGTGGGGTGAGATTGTGCTTCAATGCTTTGAATGTGTTCTCGAGAACACATCACATCTATCACAACAATTATTCGCATTATATGAAAAGCAAGACAGAAGTGTAGAATTAATCTGCAATCAAAAAATAACATAAAGTTCACTAAAATTATGTGGTTAATGGCTATCAGTATTCGTCAGCTAGAGAGTTGATAGTTTTTTTCCTGATGCTTCAAACCTTGTTAACTTAAACTTGACACTAGAGTTACTATCCGGTCATTTCGTTAATTGCGTGGTCTCAAGGACCACATTCACTTTCAGCATGTACAGTTCCATCCAAATAAATTCTAAGTCTAAACATAAACTACATACCTTCCAGTAGTGACAACACAAACTTTGACCTTCAAGGCAAATCAATATTTTAAAAACACGGTCGAATGAAGTTCACTTTAATTAATTGAACAAACAAAACCTTTCAATTTCCAAAAACCATTTTCAAAACTTTTTCAAAAAGATATTTATTTCCTTGTAGTTTCTCCGAAGTAGTTAATAACGGTTCATGAAGCAAATGAATGTATCTTCAAATTATCTAAAAGCCTAATTCCGATGATCTAAACTATTTTGCGGGATTGTTCAATATCCAATATCGTTTTGCGAGCTTGTGTAAGCCAATTAGATATCTTTACTGTCGCCTCTTGGTTTTGTTGTAAAGGTTCCTCGTCTTTGGTAATTTTCTGCGTAGTCTGTATGGCCATTCGACCGTTGTAGCTTTGGTTGACTGCAAAAGGTGTGGTGCTGTGATTAATTATACGTTGCATGTAGTATGCGGTGTGTTCAGTCCGTGTTGCTACTGTGAATAGAGTTTATCCTTTCACCAGTTAGTCTTTCGGTCAGACAGACATAATTAGTGTTGGTTATTCAGACTAAAATATGGAAAAAGAAGACGTAAAATAAGACAGCCATCTAAATTTTTTAAGTTGATATATATACATATATAAATACATATGTATATAATATCAATAATGATCATTATAATAATAGGTTTGAGTGTAGTAGTGGTAGTAATCAGGAAAATAAGGCACTAGAGAATGTGTAGAATCAAAATGGTGAGTTTAGATGTCTGCCCATTAATGGTGTATGCAATTTTAAGGGGATAGGCCATTTGGACGCGGTCCTTGTGTCTCTGCATGATTAACCAGACTTCGCTTAAAGCTGTCAACGGACGATGCCGTAGCTACATCCCCCGGTAAGGAGTTCCAGGGAGGGCAAACTCTTAGTGAAAAGAAATGGGAGGGCACTCGAGTCTTTGTCTTCTGGTGAGTTATCCTTCAGGGATTTCAACGAGGAAGCCTACACCTACTCAATGGTAGAACACCTTTGTTCGGGTGATTCTGTCATTTGTTATCATGTAGGCGGTAATCAATTCCCCCATAAGCCGACGGTAACTAAGTTTTAATAGATCTAATCTCTTTAGCCTTTCATCATATGGTTTATTTCGGAGACCCACCACTCCTGTTGTCGTTCGTCTTTAAACTTTGTCCAAGAGGTCTGGGCCTCTTCCAAGCAGTGGGGTGTGCAATGATATTGTACACTTCAAGGTGTGGTCTGACGTATGTTTTGTACAACCTTAGAAGGAGCTCTGGAGTGAGTGCACCTAACTGTTTATGTGTAAAGTTTATGACTGCATATGCTTTCCCTACATCCCCCCGTGTAATTTACACTTGTGTCCATTTTTCCATTAGAACTAGACCTAAGTCACGCTCCAACGTTGTGCAGAACAATTTTTCGTCGCAGAAGAAAATAGCTTTGAGGAAAATTCTGGAAACAGTCATTCAGTAACTTTTCTCTTTAACCTTCAGTGCAAGGTAACAGACGGAAGGAACCTATGGAATATATTAATAGGAAGACGTAAACATTAAATGTGTGGAACCTGCAAGATAGCCGCCTTCGCTAGGAATCAGCTTTCGAATGCAGATGATGTAAAAAAAATAACTTGATGTCCTACATTTGTGATGTAACGTCCCCATCTAAGTATTCTAATTCCGTGTTACTCATTTTTTGTCTGTGGTTTCGGCGTGTCTTTTCAACACATCGCATATATCCTCCGCCACAAATGGACTGCCAAATGGAAGCCCACTCAGCCTACAGACCACCAACAAGATAAAATTTACCGATTAATCATGAATACTTAAACTTGAGCACATGCATAGCATGATGGCCATGAAAAAATGCGAGTAGAAATAGAAATACATGGAGGTAAATCTTCCCCTCTGCTGATAGAGACATCCCTTCCAGCCG